TCTCCATTGTTGGGAATTTTAAAGAGCAGGTTAGACAAACACCTCTCAGGGATGGTCTAGATAATACTTCGTCCTGCCTTGAGTGCAGGGGACTGGACTAGATGACCTCTCAAGGTCCCTTCCAGTCCTATGGGTTTATGATTTTCAAACTTTTCACTGCAGAAGTGAGGGCTAGAAAGTTACTGGCTATAAAATGGAAGCTGAGATTCACAGGTAACCTTCGCCACAGGAGCTGGGTTTTAATATTGTCAGGCACACACGTGACTCGCGAGTTGGTAACACTTCTTGGACCCTCGAACAGCGTTTTAACTCCCCTCTCCTGTGGGCTGGACTTGGTCTTGGTTGTTGGGTTTAGAGTGACACACAGATCAGACTGGATGGTCTGGTGGCCCTTGCTGGCCTTAAACTATGACTGTCTGAAAAGGCCTCTCATCGCCTGCCCAGCTGGCTCCAAGGAGAGACTCACTAGCCAGCTCCTTATTGTGGGGCTGCCGAGGTGTTTGGAAAAGACTCCCCGGCCCACGCCAGCCAGTGGGTTTCAAACCTGGCTCTAGCTGCCTTCAGCTTGGTGCACACAGGTTTTGTTTAGCCCTGCTATAGAGTCAGCCCCCAGAGCAGGGTCCCAGCAAGTACTGCCTGTGCAAAGGCCTTCAGCCCCCTTCCAGGCCTGCGTGGGGGGAGTCAGTCACCTCCTGCTCGTTTGTTTTTTTGACCTTCTGACTGTTTGTTTTCTCCCTGCAGAGGGGCAGGCTAAGCAAACAGTGAGGTCCTGGGACGGGAGGCTGCAGCCCCGCCTCAGTCTGCCTGAGCAGTCCAGGAGCCACGCGCCATGAGGCTGCTGGTCCCAGCTCTGATGCTGGGTTTGCTCTGCGGAGCTTTTGCAGCTGAAGGTAAGTCTCTGCTCTCCCCTGGGCTGGGCTCCCTGCTGGACAGTCCAGTTCCACGTGTTCCCTAGCTCCCGCTTCCAGCTAGCCTTTGAGAGAGGGTCTGTTGGGCTTCTGGGGGCTGGGGCTACTGAGGCCTCCAGCCGGCCAAGGAGCCCAGGAGAAAGCAGGATCTGAGTTGGGGTTCTGGCCGGGGTCGCCAGGCAGGATCTTGAAAGGAGCAGCCAGGCGCTGCTGACCTCTCCCCACAGGCAGATCTCCATTCACGGCACTAGTCACACATCGCACACCCCACAGCCAGACACCCTGCTTCAGCAGGTCCTGGGGCTTGGGGAGAAGCGCAGCAGGGAGGGGTGGGGCCAAGGCACTAGTGAAATCCTGCTGCAGTGCGCAGGGCTGGCCTGCTACAGAAATGCAGCTGCCTGGGTGGCAGGACTGACAGTAGCCGTGGCCTGGCTAGGGTGACCAGATGTCCTGATTTTATAGGGACAGTCCCGATTTTGGGGTCTTTTTCTTCTATAGACTCCTATTACCCCCCCCCCCAGCCCACCCTCTGTCCCGATTTTTCACACTTGCTATCTGGTCACCCTAGTCCTGTTTGCACCAGCAGCCAGCCAGCGCTAGCAGGTGGGGCTGGTGTGGGGAGTCGCTGGCTGCCCCAGGGCCGTGGCTCATTCCCTGGGGGTGGGTTTGCTGCGGTTACTTCCCGGCTGGCGGTTGGCTGTTTCAGAGTCGTGTGTGGGCCGTTGCGAGGATGGTTTCCATGCCCAGAGGAAGTGCCAGTGTGACGCCTTGTGTGTGTACTACCAGAGCTGCTGCAGTGACTACGCGATGGCCTGCAAGTCGAAAGGTACCTGTCCCTCTGGAGCCCCCCCAGGCCCTTTCCCCTCGCCAGGGAGCAGTCACAAGCAAGGCCCGGGCTCCCTGCGGTTGCCATTGGCTGGCTGGTAGCAGGAAGGGCGCCCCAGATTTGCGTGTGGCGATATGCCTGGGTCAGTGAGTGCCCAGCCAGCATGGCCCCTTTCCGCAGCTGCTATGGTCAGTGGGACATTCCATTAGGAGGCAGGCTGATGCTAAGCCCCCTTCACTGAGGGGCCCTTGTGATTTCCAAGGGGCAAGGAGTCTGGGGGGCTAGAGACTGATTCAGGGGATGGGGAGTGTAGGAGGGACCCTTCTTCCCACGCTGAATGGGAACGTTCTTCTGGCAGCACGTCACCTCTGGCCCGGCCACTCAGAGCCCCAGCACAGAGTCAGGGCTGTAGCACCCCCTGGGCTCCCGGCTGCTGACTGGATCATGCCGAGTCTCTTTCTTGCCCTATGCACAGTGACCCGCGGGGACATGTTTGCGTTCCCCGAGGACGACTACATGGACTACAGCACCAATGCTACGTTGGGTGAAACCACAGAGACCCTCGACACAGGCACTGACCCCCCAACCACATCTCCAGACCCAGTCACTGCTGCCACTGTTGATTCGGTCACAGTGCCAGGCAGTGGGGTCCCCCTGCTGGTTCCCAGTGGGCCGGAAGAGGTGGAGCAGGAGGAGGAGGTGGAGGAGCTGTGCAGCGGGAAGCCCTTTGATGCATTCACGGACCTGAAGAACGGTTCTCTCTATGCATTCCGAGGTACTGGCGGGCGAGTGCTGCCCACAGGCACTGGGTGAGGGCTGCATAGGCTTCCCCCTCCAGGGCACTGACTCACTTCCATCTCAGGTCACTCCCATCGGCCAGATGCGTGACGGAGGAAGGTGGGTCTCAGCCCAGTTCCCAGAGATGTCCATGCCATCAAACCCACAGGCTGGGCCCTTGACAGCCTGGACTGACAGGCCTTGGAGCCTGAGTCCCCCACACAGGCAGATGCCGTGCCGGCAGGGCAGAGCCCTGGGTCGCTTGCATTGCCGTGGCTGTCCTGGGCCTGGTGAGGGGCTCCGGCTTGGTGCAGAGCCTCCCTGCAGCTTGCCAGACTTTCACACTGTGCACACTCGGGGCAGGAAACAAGGCAGTGGGGGACTTTGGGGGGGTGGGGGGAGCTGCCCCCCTCACGGCTCCTGTCTCCCTCCTCTCTCAGGGAAATACGTCTATGAACTGGACGAGAAGAGCGTGAGGCCCGGCTACCCCAAGCTCATCCGCGATGTCTGGGGCATCGAGGGGCCCGTCGATGCCGCCTTCACACGCATTAACTGTCAGGGCAAGACCTACATTTTCCAGGTGGGGCCGCGGGCAGGGTTAGCTAAAGTCCTGCCTGTGCTGCTGCTGCATGGCCTGACTCGTGAGAGCACCAGTCACACCACCGGGCCCCCCAGCCAGCCACTGCCGGCTCCTTTGGCTGCCCCACTGACGAGCTGCGAGGCCTCGTCCCCCTGGCCTGGGCCCCTTTGCAGAAGGGGAGCAGGGGGCAGAGCTGACAGGCCAGGCACACAGCTGATGGCCCCGGTCAAAGGTGGGACAGTGACTAGAGTTTGGCAAGAGCCCGTGGGCATGCACCAGGCAGCCCCATTGGTGTGCAGGGCGTGGCCAGGCCAGCGTCCGGCATGGCAGCAGGGTGAGCGCTAACGGGGGCGGACACTTCACTGCAGGGAATTTACATCGCTCAGGGCTGTGGGTTCATGGGCCAGAGTCTTTGTGGCTCTTGAATCCTGCTCCCCAGGGAGGGACATGCTGCCTGGGCCCATGGCAGGCTCTGCCCAGCAGCAGCGCCCCCAGCTGACCCTGCCTTGTGGCTGTCTCCCAAGGGCAGTCAGTACTGGCGCTTCAACGAGGGTGCCCTGGACCCCGGCTACCCCCGCAATATCTCGGATGGCTTCCAGGACATCCCTGATGACATCGACGCAGCCTTCGCCCTCCCCGCGCACAGCTACCATGGCCAGGAGAGAGTCTATTTCTTTAAAGGTAAATGAGCTGCTCTCACAGCTGGCCCAACTACCCCTCCCAGCTGTGTCCCCCGACAGTGCCACTGGGCATGGCCCCCACACACGGGCAGTGCCCTCCGCTGGTGGTGAGCCTCAGCTCACTGCAGCCCATTGCCCACTGGCCCTGCTGTTCTCCGCAGCCCTGCTATCCGGCAGCGCTGGGCCGTCCCTGCCTGGCTGCTCAGCCCGAGGGCACAGGGCACACGGGGCCCAGCAGCTGCAGGGCCCTCGCCTGCGTACCAGGCGGTGGGTGAAGTTGGCGCTGCCAGCTCCAGGCACTCAGAACTCAGGAGAGTGGCTAGAAATGATGAGGGTTTTCGACACTAATAAACGTGGTTTCGCCCATAGCTGCAGGGTGTCTGGGCTGCTCACTGCACTCGGTCATGGCGCCCAGCTGTATTGTATTGAAAGGAAAACCAGGTGTCTTGCTGCTCACCTGCCTCCAGGGCTTGGGCTGTTACTAGCGTGCCAAGAGGTGTAACAAAACAATCAGCGCTGGCTACGCTATGAAGGCTGCAGAGCCCCTGGCCGCTGAGTGGAGCTGCCTTGTACTGCCAGCCAGTCCCAGTGCTGGGGGATGCCCTGCCCTGCTCCAGCCAGGATGGCATCGCTCCAGCCTGACAGGCTCCATGTCTTGTTTCCAGACAAGCATTACTGGGCATACGACTTTGCCAACCAGCCCAGCCAGCAGGACTGTGAGATGTCCTCCCCATCGCTGGTGTTTGATCACTACGCGCTCATGCAGGGCGACAGCTGGGAGGACCTCTTCCAACTGCTCTTTGGGGGCACCCCGCACAGTAAGTGGGGAGGAACGGCCCAGGTTATGGGCCCGGGCAGAGCAGGTCACTGAAGCCAGAGGGCTGGGGGCAGGGGGAACCAGAGGCCATGGGACGCACCCGTAGCATGTGTGAGCTGCTAGGGACTTTGGAGTTGGGGCCATGCAGAGAGGAAGTGACCAGGTTGGGAGGTCAGGTGCTAACCAGGACAGGCAGGTTGAGGGCCCCTGATCCGGCTCTGGAGTATGTTAGACCCCAGTGCTCCTCAGTGGGACCAGCTCCACCCAACACAGTGATAGCACAGAGCGCATCCCCACATGCTGCATCCCCCCCAGCCCCAAAACACCTGCATCCCACAACCCATGTCCCCAGGCTGCACCCCGCACCCGCTGTTCCCCCCGTACAGGCGACAGACCAGGACGGAGTCAGGTACCAGGTCCTCTCTGTTTTAACTGGAGCCAACGCTGTGGGGCTGTGCAAGGTGAAGAGAAAGCTGGGGAGGTGGGGAACAGCATGGGAAACAAGGCTAGGCTCCAGGACCTCTTGCGGCAGGCTAGGTCCCGCCCTCACGTCTCTCCTCCCAGCCTGCTCTTTGCCCTGTCATGGGGATTGGGGCGGCTCTGCTCCCCCCGCCAGCTCCTTTCCTTCCCTGTTCTGGAGGCCCTGGGGACCCCACTCCCTGACGCTGCCTGTGGCAAGGCTGGGTGAGCCTCTGCCTGCAACTGGGGCACCAACCCCGGGCAGTGATGCTGCCAGCCAGTCCTCATGCCCACGCTGTGCTGTTCTGCCAGTTGGGGCCAGTGGACCGCGGTACATCAGCAGAGACTGGAGGGGGCTGCCGAGACCCCTAGATGCTGCCATGGCCGGCAGGATCTACGTCTCCTCAAAGGCTAGCAGCTGGTCTCGACGGAGGAAATCCCGCCGGCACCGCAAGAAGTACAGGAGCCGGCGGCCGGCAGCTCACACTTTCTGGGACTGGCTCCAGGATGAATCCGATTCCTCGGACACGGACCCTGACTGGCTGCCCGGGGGCTCCCAGTGCCAGCCCATCCAGAGTGTCTACTTCTTCGTGGCAGGTGGGTCCCAGCGCCATCAGCTCTCCCCAGCTGCTCTCACAGCTGGCCTGACCTAGCCCCCCACCCCCAGCAGGGCTGGGTTTCAGCTTTGCCATGCGGCCCCATCCGCCCCCTTATGGCCACCCTTTCCCAGGGCCCGGCCGTTCTGCTCGGCCTGACTGTGAGCGATGGGGCTGATTTGTGGAGAGGCCTCATGGCGGGGAGGAGAGCCGGGGCAAGCTGGGCCTGGACACGGGAGTCAGGCTGCCCTGGCGGGGCCTGGACTCTGGCCAAAGCCTTGAGCCTGGTTGTCCCTATGTTTGGTGGGAGGCGAGGGGAGGCCAGCAAGGCCAGTTCAGCTCCTGCTGCTCTGAGCTGGGGTTGAGGGTAGGGTGAGCGGAGCCCTGGGGGACTGACCATGACGCCCTTCTCTCCCGCAGACAAGTACTATCGCCTCAACCTGCGCAGCAAGCGCGTGGACTTCGTGCGCCCTCGCTACCCTCGCCCCATCGCTCAGTACTGGCTGGGCTGCCCATGAGCGGGACCGGGGAGCCCCCAAGGGGATGGGCTGCTGCCGTCCCACCATATCCACAGCAGCTGGGTCTTTCGCTAAAGCCAAATAAACAGGGAGCTCAGTGTCAGCCCTGGGCCGTGTCTGTCTGGGGCAGCGGGAGCTTCGTGGGCAGGGCTGTGCAGGCCACACCCCGGCAAGGCCCCACCTGTCTCCCCAGAGCCTGCAGGGACTAGGCCCTGTGTCCTGGCCGTGCACCGGGACACGGGGCGCTCCACCACGGCACGGCACTGAGAGGGTTAATAGATCCCTTGGTCCCTTGGTGTGGGGCACATGCTCAGAGTCAGTCCCGGGCGTCCCACAGGCTGTAGGATTGGAGCTGCTCCTGCAGCGAGTCCAGCACCTCCTCCAGCCGCAGCTCAGGGTCAGCGCCTGCTGCTGGCCGCAAGGGACAGGAGCAATTAGTGCCAGCCCCACCCTGGGCCCCACCCTCCTCCCCTCTAGCTGCAAGGGGGTGTCAGGGAACCAGAGCTGGGGGAAGGGTCCCGATTCTGGGATGGGCCCCAGAGCTAAGGAGCTCCCGCTCCCCCCCACTGATTCAGCTCCATGAAGACACGACTTCCAGGGAGCCTCTGCCCCACATCTCCCTTAGTCTCTCTTGTGCAAAGCATGCTGGGAAAGGCTTCTCCCATCCCAGGCTCACAGTATCTGCCCAGTCGAGGCCCCCCCCGGGGAGCCAGGGACACCCCAGTTCTGACCCCTCCAGCCTGCGTGGGCGGAGCTGCAATAGGGAAACCTTGGCAGCTGCTGCTCCATCACTACTTACCTTGGCGCCCTGTGCTGCTGCCTGGCTGCCCTGGCAGGGGAGGGGCTGACGGCGCGACCTGCCCCTCCAGGCCGGGGGGAGGCTCAGGGCCCTGCTGCTGGGTGTCTCTCAGGAGCAGACACGAGCCAACGGAGCTCTTCCTTCGGCCCAGGCTCCTGCAGCGCAAGCAAGGGCTGGGCTGAGTACTGGGGCCAGGGCTGGTGGCCCAGAGGAGCACAGGAGGCCACTAACCTGCCAGAGGCTGCATGTGCAGTGAGCCTGGGGCCCACATCAAATCTGGCCATGGCTGCCCCACCCCACTGCCTGCCCCCCATCCCTGGGTCACCTTCTGATGTGCCCTGAGCCCTGTCCTGGGGGCCTGTGCTCCTGCCTGCACAGCCCCACGGCCAGACTCACTCCTGGCCCCAGGCTGGTGACTCTCACCTTTTCCCATGGAGTAACCAGGGAGCCACAGGGCGCTGCTGGCTCTGGGGCCAGGGCTGAGCCGGGTCCTCCCATGGGCTGCCCTGGCTGGCCCCCTGGAACCTGGAATCACTCTGGGCAGTGAGCACCTCCCATGGCGGCAGCTGGAAGGACAAGTAGAGCCCTTAGGCTGAAAGCTTCCACTTCCTGTTCCCAGCCAGCCTTGCAGGGGATGGCCCATGCCTGGGAGCGCTGGCAGGGCAGCGGCAGGCATGGACAGGAGGCAGTATCTGCAAGAGGAAGAGAGCACGGGAGGGGACGTGGCGCAGGCGTCCAGCTGTGTGTGCTGGGGCTTAGCTCCGTGCATGGCTGGGGGCGCCAGGGCCAGGGCGGAAGCTGGAGCAGGTGTCCCGCTGGAAGGCAGACGGGCGTCCAGGCTCCATGGCCCATCCGTTCTCTGCCTTTTGTGCTGAGCTGGGCCCCACAGGAGCGGCTTTCAGCCAGATTCGAACCAGCCCAGACGCTGGGGCGGCAGCTCCCCTGGGGCGTCACGGCCGGCAGGACACGTCAGGGGCCAGGGCCTCGGGCGCCAAGTCAGACAGGAAGAGGAGACTCACGTGGCCACACTGGGCTGCGCTGGGGGCAGGGTGGGCGCAGGGCAGGGCCTGGATGCTGCAGGAGCTGGGGGCAGCTTCGGGGGAACGTCGGGCCTGGCCCCAGCTGCTGAGGGCTGGGAGGGACTCTAGGTGCCTGGAACATAAACGAGATGAGTGGGAGTGGGGCAGCCCCAGGCATCCCAACATGCCATCCCAGCCACGGTGCCCGGCGAGGCAAGAGCCAGCAGCCCCACAGCTTGGGGGGGAGACCTGGCAAGGTGGGACTCAGGCGGGGGAGGTCACCACAGTGACAGGCAGGTCAGTCACCCAGCCAGCAGCTCCAGGGGCTGGAGGGGGCCTGCGGTTGGCTGAGACGCTGCCCAGAGCAGGAATTCCTGCAACACCCGTCTGAGGGGCTCCCTGAGCTTGACTGTTCTGCCAGGCCTGGGCCTGAGCTTGCGTCTGCCCCAGCCCCAGGGACCGTGGCCCACAAGTAACCCAAGACTGGCCTGAAGGACGGGCCTGGGCTCTGCCATGTCCAGCAGAGAGACCCTCCCTCACGCCACACACCCAGTGCATGCCTAGTGTCCCCCTGCACGCCCAGCACTCCCCCCACACGCCCAGCACCCCCGCACGCCCAGCACCCCCACACACACACCCAGTGCCCCCCACACCCAGCGCCTCCCGCACGCCCAGCACTCCCCACACACACACCCCGCGCCCCCCACACGCCCAGCACCCCCACCACACACACCCGGCGCCCCCCACACGCCCAGCACCCCCACACACACACCCAGTGCCCCCCCACACCCAGCGCCTCCCGCACGCCCAGCGCCCCCCCACATACCCAGCATGCATCGAGCATCCCCCCGCATGCTGAGTGCCCCCCCCGTGCACCCAGCGTGCACCCCGCATCCCCTGCATGCCTAGCGCCCCCCGTACGTGCCGAGTGCCCCTCACGGGGCCGGCCCCCCAACGCCAGCACTGAGAGTCCAGACCCTCCCCCCCAGTTCTTCAGGTGACTCGGAAATGCCTCCCCATCGCGCACACAGCTCAGGGCCTGGCTATTGAGGGGTTCCCTCACCCTGCAGAGCAGCTGTCACCCACCCACGGGGGTCTCAGGCACTGCCTGCATTGCCCCTCCCCCTGCCCCTTTATCTCGTCAGCTCCTGCACCAGTGCACGTTGCCCTTCCCTGGCAGGGGCTTGGCTGCTCGTCAGCGGGATCGGTTCCCTCCTTGGCCAAGTAGGACAATAGGAAGGGGAGAGCGCGGTGAGCTGTGGACGCCGGGCCCCACCCCAGCCATCCATCTAGACTCTAGCAGAGCCCCCCTGCCGGGTGCCTGCCCCGTGCCAGGCCGGACTCAGCACATGGACGGAGCCCAGCGCTGCCCTGCTCACCACGCCCTCTGGGTAGTGCGCTGGGGCACCCCCTCGCTGGGCGTGAGGGGCCAGGAGGAGCGAGATCTGGCTCAGTCACCCAGCCCAGCAGTGCTGACCTTTCGGGGGTCCAGGCCCAGCTAAGCTGCGCCCCCCTCCCCGGTCGGGTGACTGAGCTGGGGCAGCCTGCAAGCTGCTGGGGAAGGATTGGCGGTGGTTCTTGAGTTGCAGAGAGCCAGGCATGGCAGGGACTCTCTGCGGCGAGAGGCTGGGGGAGGCAGGCAGAGCCTGGGTGGGTGTTGTGGAGCTGCTGGAGGGCCCAGGCACCTGGCCTGAGGGTGAGCCCCTGGGCTTGGGACCTGGTCGGAGGAGCGGCATTTGCCTGGGGGAGTGGGGCTGGGGTGCCCCTTCCCTGAGCCCAGCCGGGGTGGGCCTCGCTGCCTGGGAGAGTCACGCTGCCGCGGGTAGCAGCTGTTTTGAGGTGGCTGGGGAAAAACACGGTGGAGCCCTGCCCACCTCGTGTGTAGGGGGCATTGCTTTGCCAGTGACCTCTGTGCTAGGTACCAGGCCATGCCCAGGGCTCGCCCACACATCCGGGCTCTAGGGAGGTGCAGGGTCGGCCCCCCCGCCAGGAGTTGAGTCTCCCAGGGGTCAGCCCAGGAGGGGGAACGTCCTGTTGCTACCTGTGCTGCTCGTTCTCCAGCACAAACTCCTCCAGGAGGCCACAGAGGCTGCGCCTGGCCGAGCCGGGTGCTCTCCTCGGGGCCCCTCTCTGCCCAGGGGCATGGCCCTCTCCCTGGCACTCGGGCAGCTCTGCAAGGAAAATGAGATGGGTGACAACTGGAGCCCAGCCACTGCATCTGCACTCGGGCCAGGGCCTGGGGGTGGCAGGTCCCATAATTCTCTGATGCACAAGCCCACGGTGCCCCTCTGCAGGCTCCCCACTCCTGTCCCCCAGGGTGGCCCTGGATCCCTCTAACCCCCAGCTCTGCCCCGTCCCCAGCTGCACGCACGTGTGGGGGCTGTGTGGGCGGTTGTGCCCGCGCCCAGTATCCTGGGCAGCCGCAGCTGCTGGCGCAGGGAGAGGTTTTCCTCCCGCAGGGCCTGGATTTCTTGCTCCAAACTTCGCAGCAGCTTCTCCCGGGACACCTGGCAAATCAAAGGCACAAGGCTTAGAGGGGTGGGGGCCCCACAGCTCAGGGAGAGGGCCCTGGCCACAAGGGGCCCTGCCCTGGGATGCAGCGAACTCAGATGTTCGGATGTTGTGAAGGCCAAGAGTATAACTGGGTTCAAAAAAGAAAAGATGAGTTCCTGGAGGCTAGGCCCAAAGACAGCTGTTAGCCAGGCTGGGCAGGGACACAACCCCCTGCTGTGGGGGTCCCTAAACCGCCAACTGCCCGAAGCTGGGACTGGACGCCAGGGGCTGGATCACTATAATTGCCCCGGTCTGTTCGTTCCCTCAGAAGCACCTGGCACTGGCCGCTGTCAGAGACAGGACACTGGGTTCCAGGTCTGAGCCCATGTGACCGTCCTTGTGTTCAAAGCCCTCTGGCCTTACCCTGTGTGCCACAGGCTTGGTGGTGACCTTCTTGGCCCTGCTGGCGAAGCGCAGCGTGCGCAGTGTCTCCGGGAGGCAGCGCGAGGAGGGGGAGATGCAGGCGACCTGCTGGACAAGGGACAAGGCTGAGGAGCAGCTCCCAGTGGGGCCGTCATCAGAGAGGGCTCTGGCGAGTCTCTCCCCATGGCCCCAGGCTAGCCGGCTCAGGCACTGGAATCCCGGACTCCAGCCTTGCAATGTGATTTTGACAGGTCACTTCCCCTGCTCCCGTCCCAGCGCTGCACCTGTGGGGCTGCAGCTCCAGGCCCGCACCCAGCCCTTCCCCGGGTGCAGAGGGGAGCCAGGCTCCTACCATGAGCGTGATCCCGGATCCGCCCAGGGACTCCGCCAGCAGCCGGGTGAGCTTGCTGTCCCTGTACGGGATGTGACTCCGCCTCCGTCTGGGGTCCACCAGCAGAGAGATGCAGTGCCCTGCGGGGAGGACAGGCTGTCACACTTGCCTTGGCGCTCAGGTGGCGCTGCTCCAGGCGATGAGCACACAGAAAAGCCGCAAGGCCCAGCCGAGCCTGCAGCCAGCTGGGGGAGCATGCAAGCCTGGCCCCTCTCTCTGGCGCGGCTGCAGGGGCCTTACCCAGAGCCAGGAGACTGCGGTTGATGTTGCTGGCCTCCACTAAGCGCTCACCAGCCGAGCCGGTGTCCTTCACCCTCTCGCTGCCAGCCAGGTCCACGAAGCAGAGCACGCCTTTCTGGCAGGAGCTGGGGTCTGGGCTCATCTGTGGGGAAGGGGAGGGACCGTAGCTCACAGGTGTCCTGCTCCATGGGCCTTCAGGAACACTCCCAGCCAGGCCGTCTGCCCTGCACAGCTGGGGTCTCCAGTGCAGGCCCTAGCGAGCCCAGCGAAGGGAGAAGCACCAGGCTGGCTCAGACGGGCGTCAGCCCAGAGCAGCCCCTGGAGGGTGAGCAGGGCAGTAGCAAATCAAAGCCATTCAGGCCAGTGCCCCTCGGACCCTCCCCCAAGCTGCCAATGCAGCTGGGCCCCTGGGAGCAGGATGGGCTATGCCATGGCCCCCGAGGCCCCGCGTGCTGGGACACGAGTGACTCACAGCCTTGCGGCAGATGCGGATGGTCAGCAGGGCGTGGCTGCGACTCGAGTGCCCATTCAGTGCATGCGCGGCGCTCCGCCGCCTTCGGGTGCCTGGGAGCGGGAGGCGCAGACAGTTCAGAGCCAGGCAAAAAGGTTAAACAGCCCCTGACCCCCTGGCGCTGGGCTTCACCCTCCTGCAGAACCTGCGCTCCCAGGGTCCTGAGCTCGTTACGGGGCAGGGGGCCTCTGCAGCTCCAGGAACGGAGATGGAGCCTCTTCCCTCAGTGGCTGGGTCTAGGCCAGCACAGGCTGTTCCCATCTGGCTGCTGCCTGTGCCCCCAGGCCGCCAGTCCTGCCTTGGAAAACAGCTGGTGACCTAGGCCAGAGTGATGCCCTGGTGCAGGCGGAAGGCTCGTGGGAGGAGCAGCTCCCCACCACTAGGCTCAGCAAAAGGGAATTCACTCCCCATCTGGCCACCAGGGGGCCCCTTCTGCACTGGACTCATTGCCCATGGGCTGCAGAGCCCTGGGGTCTCCACTCACCGGGGGTCCTGCCTGTGCCCCTCCCCAGTGCCCTGCAAGGCTGGAGACGCCCTGTGCGGTACCTTCCTGCAGCAGGTCCATGATGGCCTCCAGGCTCCCAAACTCCACAGTGAGCAGGTTCTCGATGTAGAAGCCCCTGGTTTTGCTCCATCGCACGGGCAGGGGCCTGGGCGATCCTGGGTTCAGCAGGTCTCTCACCTGGACAGAGGGGAGGCACCGGGGCAGGTGGGAATGGAGCCCAGGAAGCCAGAAGGACGCGGGTGAGCGGGAAGGGCTGTAGCAGAGAGGTAATGGGGGGCAGGGCAGGGTAATGTCTGGTGCCCATCAGCCAGCCCTGGGCATGGGCTGGGGGCATGAGGTGCTGCAGCTCTTTGTCCAGGCAGTGTGGTGGGGGTGGCCCTACCTGCTCATTGTGTATCTCCACGTACGAGGCACTGAGCACGAGGCCGGGTCTGTAGTGCTGCGTCTGCTCCAGGAGACACACAAAGGCCCTTTGCATCAGCCCCCCGAGGTAGGGAGTCGCCGGCTGGCCCTCGCTCTGCAGAGAGAGGAGAAGTCTCGGAAAGCCAATGGCAGGGTGCCCTGAGCTTCCACCCCCTGCAGCAGGAAACTGAGAACCAGCCCCAGCCAGCACCCTGCCCCCCACAGCGCCCCCTGCTGGGAGAGGCCGGGCCTGAGGTAACTGGGAGCTCCCCCCCACAGCTAGCACCCTGCCCTGCTCCCCACAGCGCCCCCTGCTGGGAGAGGCCGGGCCTGAGGTAACTGGGAGCTCCCCCCCACAGC